GATTTTCAAAGATTCTCTCATATTTTGAACCTGCGGGTGTAATGTTTTCAAATTCTAAAATGAACACTAATGATTGGTAATGTTTGATTTTCATATTTTGTCTTCCTGAAGTACAGCGAAGCAAATCATGTTCGAATCAGTATTCCCTAAGAGCAACGAAGTGGATCAAAATTTTCTCGAGTCTGACCTCCCTTAAAGAGTAGTGAAGCAGATTTTTCTTCTTTCAGATTTGGTCTTCCTGAAGAGTAGAGAAACAAATCATGTTCGATTCAATCTTCCCTAAAGATAAGCAAAGTGGATTAAAAATTTTCTCGAGTCTGACCTCCCATAAAAAGTAGTGGAACAAATTTTTATTCTTTCAAATTTGGTCATCCTAAAGAGCAGTGAAGCAAATCATGTTCGATTCAATCTTCCCTGAAGAGCAGCGAAGTGGATCAAAAATTTTCTAGAGTCTGATCTCTCCTTAAGAATAGTGGAGCAGATTCTTCTTCTTTCAGATTTGGTCTTCCTGAAGAGCAGCGAAACAAATCGATCCCGATTCAATCTTCCCTGAAGAGCAAAGAAGTGGATCAAAGTTTTTCTCGAGTTTGACCTCCCCTAAAGAGTAGCGGAGTAGATTCTTTTTCTTTCAGATTTGGTCTTCCTAAAGAGTAGTGAAGTAAATCAAGTTCGATTTAATCTTCCCTGACGAGCAGCGAAGTGAATCAATGTTTTCTCGAGTCTGACCTCCCCTAAAGAGTAGTAGAACATATTCTTATTCTTTCAGATTTGGTCTTCCTGAAGAGCAATGAAGCAAATCAAGTGTGATTCAATCTTCCCTGAAGAGCAGCGAAGTGAATCAAAGTTTTCTCGAGTCTGACCTCCCCTAAAGAGTAGCGGAGCATATTCTTCTTTTTTCAGATTTGCTCTTCTTGAAGAACAGTGAAGCAAATCACATTCGATTCAATCTTCCTTTAGAGCAGCGAGTGAATCAAAATTTTCTCGAGTCTGACCTCCCTTAAAGAGTAGAAGAGGAGATTATTTCTTCTTTCAGATTTGGTCTTCCTGAAGAGTAGTGAAACAAATCACATTCGATTCAATTTTCCCTGAAGAGCAGCGAAGTAAATCAAAATTTTCTCGAGTCTGGTCTCACCTAAAGAGTAGCAGAGCATATTCTTATTCTTCTTCATATTTGTATTCTTGAAGAACAGTGAAGCAAATCACATTCGATTCAATCTTCCTTTAAGAGCAGCGAAGTGAATCAAATTTTTTTCGAGTCTGACCTCCCTTAAAGAGTAGAAGATGAGATTCTTTCTTTTTTCAGATTTGGTCTTCCTGAAGAGCAGTGAAACAAATCACATTCGATTCAATTTTCCTTGAAGAGCAGCGAAGTAAATCAAAATTTTCTCGAGTCTGGTCTCCCCTAAAGAGTAGTAGAGCATATTCTTCTTCTTCAGATTTGGTCTTCCTGAAGAGCATCGAACAAATCAAGTTTGATTCAATTTTCCCTGAAGAACAACAAAGTGAATCAAGTTTTTTCAGATTTGATTACCCGAAAAGAGTGGAACAAATCATGTCTGATCTACCCTGAATATGAAGTTGAGTGGATTAACCTTTCAAACGCTTCATAACCGGACAAATATGATCATACTTTGATCTTTTCTCTATTCTCGTTACACGACAATGAATAAAGAGGGGTATCTGTAGATGCTCATTTTGTCTAGGGGTTTCATTCGAGTTTTGCTCGGGTTTATATTACATTATTATTAATATATGGTTGTGTTTAAAATTATGTAGGGATTAATTATCAATAATTATTTATGAGTGTGGTCATGTATATTATAATGGAGATATTTGAACATTATTATACATACACATATATATATATATATAGACATATAAGCATATATAAATAATTAAATACATTTATGTACATAAAATACTAATGCACTAATATTTTAGCAGGCCTAGTTACAAAACAATCCCTCACTTGACCCAAATAGAGTCCCGAATCGGAGCAAGCCTAATCCAGTTGCAAGCCCAAATGTTATTGCCCAATTAAAGAAAACCCTAAACCCAGTGAGATTTCTATTAGAAGACCCAGCACCGCCAGGAGCCTATACCGTTGGATCTGATGAGATCCATTGACCAGAACGTGAGGACCATTAGGGTTTTAGGTCACCAGTCTCCAGTGCCGCAAGTAGAGATAATTGGATTTGAGTTATGCATCCAATGGATTGGCTGAGATGACATAAAACTTAGGGTTTCTAAACCCTAAAGATATATATACAATTGATTCTCGGCCGTTGGATCTGGTTCCAAGATCCAACGGCTCGTAGCACTCCGAAGGTCCCCAAGTTACGCGTTAGATTCCCTGAAGGCTTCCCAACTTCCCGAATGATCATATTTTGTGTGTAGAGAATACGCTAGTCACTCCAATTGCCACCCGAGCCTCCATGCACATGCCAGCACCTCAACACCTCTGATCGTACAAATAACAAAAAATAATAACTCCAAGACCAGGGCAGATTCCTTGGCCACATGGAGATGCCATCGATGCATGCAAAATAATAGAAAGAAATCAACATAAAGAGAGAAATAGGCAAATTAGAGAGAGAGAGAAAAAAATATGAAAAAATCAATCATTTTCTCATCATAAACAAATATAGCAAAAGAAAGAAACCATAAAGAGAATTTTTCTCTATTTTATAACCAAATCACCAACCAACCAAAAAACATATCAAAATATAAAGAAACTCACCTTCCCGATCAGAAAAACGTTGTTACTGTCCCCTAAGAGTCTCCCAGGGTAAGCTTTTCGTGCTCCGTAGCCACTGTTGAGCAGTTTTTCATAGGTCGAGTTTAGAGCTTATTGGCTCCTCGTTGGAGCCCCCAGGGAGAGTGGAGGCCACGGTGGTCGTTGGTTCTACTGGGGTTGAGATGAGTGAAAAGAGAGAGGTTAGAGAAAACGAGGATTAGCAAAAATGAGGTTGATACAAATGGGTTAGGGTTTAGTTTTTTCCCAAAGTATCATATATATGCTCACCGGAATGACATCATTTTGTAGGTCTAGGTCATCTGTTTCGCACATGGTATATTCGTAGTATGGGTCACGCAGGGTTTTATTTTAATTCATTTTAGTCCTCAAATCAAGGTTTTCATATTTCTAATTTTGTCTCCATATTTTACGCATGTTACATTTCAGTCTTGAGTCATGTTGCTTTAAGTTTTCGTTACTTTATATATTTGACACTCAAGTTTTTACATGTTTCATTTTAGTCCATATAAACTATTTATTTGTATTTTGTATTGTTTAATTTCGTGGCATGTTATTTCAAGCTTTTTTATTTTAGTTCTATGTACTCTCATGGTTTTATTGCAACTTTAGGGTCTGAAATATTTAACTTTCATATTAAGTGTTCGATCTTTGCTTAACTTGCTGAGTGTTCCCCCCAAAACTTTTTTTATCACTTTTTTATTCTTGAATATGTCATAGTTAGCTTGTAAACATTAATTTTCTTTTGCATTGGTAAATACTTCTTTCAATTTAGTTATGTATGTTTGATTAATCGTTGGCAAGTTTGTGTATACATGTGTATGCGAGCAATTAATTCATGAAACATATGTCATTGATGAATGCTATGTATGATGACCTCATGGGCATGACTCGACCCATATTAAATAATTGAATTAAGAGTAATACTCTTCCATTTTAAAATTAAAATCATTGTGAGGTGATTGTCTTCACTTATTAGAAAGTCGCTTCCTATGATTTTAAACTGAAAGTGTATCACAACAGTGAATTCCACACCTAAAAATTGGGAATGAGAGAACAAGAAATGTTCGTTCATTTAAATTCTTCGAGAAAAGATTGTTAGAATTTATCTAAGGTACGATCTCGATGTCTTTAAATAATCGAATATTCTTATTCTTTCTAAAAAGCTTGGTAATTTTTAATTTAATTTGTTTAATTTCATGCATTTGAATATTGCAATGAAACTGTAATATTTCTTTATTTTGATTGGAGTAAGAATCGATTGTCTCAAGGTATGAGAGGTCGATTTTTCTCGATAAGAAATAATTAAATATTACTCGTTTTCGTTCTAACATTCACGAATGTTGTTTTTAAGGGATTATAAATTAAATTAAATTCGAACTTGTAAATTTTATTGAAAAGACAATTAATTAATCGACTAGGTACCGATTTAGGGCAATTGTGGGGGTGCTAATCATTTCTCACGCGTAACCGACTCCCGAACTTAATTTTCTGGTATGCAGACCGTAAATTTGTTGTTTTAATTAAAATCAATATTTTTATTAAAATGACAAATATGCTTTTGGGTGCCCAATCACATTCTAATCAAATATTGATGGCGACTCATCAAACCGTATTTTATTTTATTTAAAGGGAATCCCAAACTTTTCGAAGCGAGAAATTTTTTTAAATCAGATTACCTTTTTATTAAAAATTAACCAAAAGATAATTAAAAATGTGTGTATTTTTTAAATCTCGAAAAAAAATCGATTCGACAAATTATTTCTTTTATTAAAAATTTTATATTGTTCTTACTTCAAAGTGAAAGTGTCTAATCACATTGTTTTGTGTATTTGATGTTCTTCTCTATCGTTTGGGTTGTTAATGATAGATTTTTTAGAGATTAGACATTAAATGCATGTTTGTCTAAGACATGATCTTAGAAGAAACGCCATTATGTCCGATTTATATTTTATTTTTAATTTATTTAAAAATTTAACATTTATTATAAAATTTTAAATTATCAAATACAAGATACACTTTTTCTTATAACTATGGATGCAAAATCTGATAGAGAGGGACGAAAGGATGATAGAACAATGACCAATAAGAAATCCATAATCTGCAAAAGTAATTATTTAAATACAAACTTTTTAAATAAAACAACATTTCATTTTATTACTAAGACCGGATGAATTCATTTAATCTTTAAATAGAAAAACAAAAGACAAAGAAAGGCCTTTCTGTACTATTGATAGCGGTGCTTTTAGCGTCTGTTGTAATAACTGAGTACGCTGAAATAGGTCTGCGCGGCAGTAAGAGGAGGCAGCATGTACGCAATCACATAAGAAATTATTTTTACAGGATCACGAAATTCCGGAGATAAAAGGAAAGATGTTATAAAAACACTCAATGGATTTTTGCCATACCGGTTTAGATCCTTTCTCACCATAGCTAGATTGCTCGTCGGATCGACTGTTATGTCGTCGGGTAGCGAATTGAAGATATCAACAACTGTCTTGTCATTTACATTAGTTTTTCTGATGATCTCCGGTGAAGTTAAGACCTTAACGTCTGTCTCATCTTTGATGAAGCTCTTCATGAATGACAAATAAGATGTCACCTCGTTGCCTGCTTCGACTTGAAGACGCTCGAATGCTACAAGATTGAGAAACGTCTCGGAATCTTGATCTATCCTAATGCAGGCTATTCTTAGAAAACCACCATCGGAGTTCACTTTGAATGAAGCGCTTTCGAGGCTTCTGGTATTGCTTGCCTTAAACCAAACTTTGGCTGCTCGAATCAACTTTGCCGGATATAGAGTTTCATTATATTGAGCTTCACTGATAGGTATTCCAAACGATGGAGGGTGACCGGCCGTCATTTTGGTTCGTTTCCTTAGAAACAAGGATCTTCCTACACACATCCAATATATGCAAGCATTCACCTATATTAACCTCTGAACGGAGGGAGAAAAAAGGAGAAATAAGATTGTTGATCACAAAGTCTTCACCCTGCATCTAAAGTTGAATATCTCTTTTAAGAATTAGCTTGAAATTTATGGTGAGAGCAACAAAACATAAAAATCAACCTTCGAATTATTGGTTTGAACTGCAATCAGCTTGACAAGTACAGGCATTAGCAATTGATTTTCCAGCGTCAAAATGTCACTCTTGATTATAGACAACATCAATCGCTTAGGGTTGAAGATCGGATCATTATCGGCATAGTCCGATTTAGTAATACCACTGCTTAAAACTTCCAGTATGAAGACCCCATCAACAATCATCAGCTGCAAGAACTTGTTTCTGTCGTTTTCCCATGATGAATCAAGTGCATCATATGAGTCCAATAAATCTTCCACCACTTTAGATAGAGGCTCCACAAATGCTTCAAGACTTTTATTCGATCTCTTGAGAAAATGGAGAAGGGCTCGTTGCTTGTGCTCCTCCATTGCTTGCAGATGATATTGCCCATGATGGTACGGTCCGATGGATACAGTACGAGGCGTGTAGGCTCGTTGTTTGTCCTCATTTCCACCTTTGATGCAACAAGGCACCTTATAGATTGACACCTTCTTCCACTTTTCGGCTTGTGGTGAACTATCGCCAATCGCTGACTTTGAGCCTTTTGATCCACTTCCTCGATCCAAATGTTCCATTGCCGTTATAAACTTCAGAAAGGCCTCAGATTTGCTATGTTTTACTGCATCTTCCTCTTGTCTTGTGCATAATAAATATGTATAGAACGTTACTTAGCAGATTCTCAGCAATTACGCGTTTAAAATTTATTGTATTCTAAGATAAAAAAGAAATATTTTCTAGTCAACAAAGTTTGCACGTCGTTTAAAATTTAATGTATTCTAAGATAAAAGAGAAATATTTTCTAGTCAACAAGTCCTTAGGTTGCACGTCGTTTAAAATTGAATGTATTTTAAGATAAAAATAGAAATATTTTCTAGTCAACAAGTCTTCTTTTTCTTGTTTACAAAAAGGAGAAAAGTAAGGCGACTAAATACTAATTTAATGCAAATCTTCTAGGGAAGGAGATACCCCTAACATCTAGGAAGGACATGATTTCAGCGGGCGGTGACTCCAAAATTACGAGCTCATCGTCTAGAGAAACTCCCATCTTCAAAAGGATATCTGCACAAAAATTTCCTTCACGAAAAATATGCTTGAACGTTATCACCCAATTACGATTTTTTAAATCCGTATAACTTCAATGATTGCTCCCATAGGATGAGTTTGAACGTCTCCCATTTCAATTCAATAGCATTTCCTTCGGTTAATGTACCTTTAAAAAATCTAATTTTTTGTTGTTGTTAAAACTAGATCAAAATCCACATTCCTTTGTGTATGTTTGATTTCCTTTTGGGATCTATTTTGAGTAATAGAATATTGTAATTCTAATTATAACAGAGGTATCTGTGTCGGAGAAGTCCATGATAAAGGCTTTTATCTCCCGGAGATTCTATGCTAACTTAAACCCCACCTTTCTCAGTGTTGTGTTTGATAATAAATGAGTTATATAATATACCAATCTTCTTTTCACCTTTCATCATGACAAGGGAACCATTATTAACCTTTAGAGCTCCACCTTAAGTGGAATACTTGTACCTTTTTAAATCTAGAGTACTTAGCGAAATTAGATTCCTCCTTGAATCTGGTACATGTCGTACGCTAATAAGAGTTCTAACGACACCATAACTTATTCCATAACTTATTCATAATGTCATTTTTATCCTCATTAGAAACAATTCGATAAACCTAATCCTTCATATTTTAAATTTTTTCAAATTTTTTATGATATTGTCACCAAATTAACCCATCAAATCAAAGCAATAGTTGGATAATTGTGTTATCCATAAAGCAACAAAAATAGGGGTGAGTGAAAAATCAATCTTTTCGACTCGACTCAACTCAAATTGACTTCAAGTTTTAATTTTATAAGCTCGGCTTGACTTGAAAAAAATTCAAATTCAAGTATACTGACCGAAAACATTGTTAATACTCATTTACCTCTAAGATTGTTATATACTCTTTAAGGTATGTGTGGCTTTCAGGCTTCTAAAAGCTAACTTTTCCGTCCTTCAATTTGTCATTGACAAATTGAACCCAATTGAGTTCACCTTTCAACCTTTCATCGCACATCAACTTCATATTATATTTGCTCAGGGATGTATCACCCGTTGGACAAAGAAAGATTCCGAAAATGTACAATAATACTCGGGCCTTCAGGCTATCCCCATCATAGACACCGCTTTTAATATATGCCTCAAGTTCAACTTATGTAACCTTGGTCTTTATATTATACTTCTCGGCAAGTTTTTTTAGTCCTCCCTCTGAATGATTTCTTCAACACTAGTGCCTTCATTTTTTAGCCCCAATACGACTACAAACACATTCAACCCCAAAGAAATGAAATTTCATTGAACCTAAGTCGACAATTTTTCACATCAAAATTCTCCATCAACGAACGACACAAGTCCCTACGAATTGGCTGCGCCTTTACTCCTATCAAAGATCCAAACCCCATTTCTATGGGAACATTTTCTTTTTTCTTTTCCATCAAGTATTTGTTGGTAAAATAGAAACTGCAAAAGCACACCGTTAGCACTGACAGGAAAGATAAACAATAATGTAAAAGGAACAGATTCGTAAACCATGTCGTGGTAGAACCACTGCCTTAGAAACGAATTCGCCCCGATGTGTGTAATCGCTACAGTAGGTGGACCGTCCCTCGAGGTTAACACGGTCGCTCTGAATTTCGTACACCCGAAACCAGAGTGACTGCTGCTGGTATTGCACTTCTGATCAGAAAGCACAGAAAGAACAATTGCATAAAACACTTTGAGAGTGAATTGTGAATGTTGAGAGTGGGTTGGAAGTTGAATATAGCTATCTATTTATAGGCTAGAAATAGGGTTAAAATCGTCCATAAAATTTCAGGATTAAATCATGTAACCCCTGGAATTAAATCAAATAACTCATGATATTAACAGCTTGTCTCCTCAGCAGCCTAATAACGGACGTGTCTTCGACATGTATTACCACGAGCCGAGCCGAGACGGACGTCGGCGGCGGCGGTGTGCGAGAGTCCCCCTTGTTCTCTATCACTCAACAAGGAAGTGAGAAATCCAAACCTTAAATACCCATTCCCAATAGTATTTTCAATACTATGTGGGATTGAGCATTACCGACATTATTCAATCAATTCATAAACTCTTATCTAACTACACTGCATCGACACTTCCTACATTTAAAAAATACATAATGTCAGTATTTTATAGATCATTTTATCAAAATATTTACAAGTTCAACTATTTATTTTATCCGAAAAGTCTAATGAATATCTTCTTTTCATGTAATCTCCTCCGGGCTTTATATTCTTCTCTTTGTTTTTTGGACAATTTTATATAAAGTTCTTTGTCATTATTAATCATCAACTTCCATTTCTCCGACGAATCTTGTCTCACATGCAATTAATCATAAAAGTTTCTTAATCAATAATTTAACGCTAAATAATACTCATTCTAAATTCAGTTTACATACTGAACCCGACTTTTTATTGTCGTCTTCGTACTTGTTCACATTCACTCAAAATGTCAACATTTGAAATTTGTAATCAACTTGAAGTTCTTAAAAACTTCAATTCAATAACCATTTAAACATCAATTACACAAATACATTGTTACTTACTAGAAGTCCATTTATGGATAAATGTGTTATTCATAAAGAAACAGTAATAGGGGTGAACAAAAGTTGAATTGACTCGAAAAATTAATTTTTTTTGACTCGACTCAAATTGACTTCAAGTTGTAATTTTATAAACTCGGCTCGACTTGAAAAAATTTTAAATTCAAGTCGAGTTATAAAATAGAACTCGAATAACTCGAATTGTTTAGTAATTAATGGATTAATTTTCAAGTTTGAGTTGAGTCCCTCAACTTTGTATGATATATGTATATTTCATATGAAGAAATATATATGCATTGTATATGATTATACAAAATTGTTTAAATTGGAATCAAATGGAATCATAATATTATAAATATTTAGAATAAAATTTAAACATAAACTTGAACAACTCGACTCGACTTGACTCGAAAAATTTCAAATCAAGTTTGAGTTATAAAATAGGACCCATCAACTTGAATAACTCGAAATTGTTTTACTCGACTCGATTGAACGCTCACCCTAAGTAGCAAATGACTGCTAAATTATTATTATACTAGGAAGGTAACATGAAAGCAATATAACATTTAGGGTAAATTACATTATTCATAACTCAATTATCTTTTCACTCCTATTTTGATTATTAAAGTTTAAAAATGTTCAATTTAATAACTAAACTTTCAAATTACTCTTGTTTTGGTCACTCCCTAATGACATGAATTATTTTAATAGTATTTTTATTATAATATTACATATTTTATTATTTTTAATGTCAAATGTATTTGAAATAAAATCCTTTCAAATACCAAATTATATCCCAAACCATAAACCCTAATCCATACCCAAATGTGTTTTAGGGTAAGATTATTTTTATTTGGGGTTTAGATATAGTGTTTTGGGGTTTTGGGGTTTCAATTTGGGATTTGGATGTTGTGATTTGGACTATATCAGTTGCAATTTGGTGTTTAGATGATGTGATTTAGGGTTTGGGTATTGTAATTTGGACTTTATTGGTTTCAATTTAGTGTTAGATGATGCGACTTAGTTTGGGTGTTACAATTTGGATTTTATTGGTTACAATTCGGTTTTAGATGATGTGATTTAGGGTTTGGGTGTTGTTATTTGGGGTTAGGGGTTGCAAGTTAGGATTTAAGGTTTAGGTCTATGGTTTGAGGTTTGATTTGAGAGTTTTAATTTTGTTTTATTTTTTATTACAATCCTATGTGTAAAAAATAATAATAAAATATGACATATCATAAAAATATTAATAAAGTAAATTGAAAATTGATCAAAGCATGAGCAATTTTAATTTTTAGTTATTAAATTAAGAAATTTAAACTTTAATGACAAAAATAGGAATGATAAGATATAAATTAATAATTTAACCAAATATTAAGGATAAGTTTATGAATCAATTTTTTTCTTTCAAACCTCTCGTGCTTTGTTTGCTGGTTACTACGTCGATATTCTTTTAGTTCTTTTTATCTAAGTTTCAAACTCTGGTCTCCAACTTATTCAGATATGCCTTATTCCTCTTCTTTACTCTGGTCTCCTCTGATATGCCTTAGATCTAATCTTCTTAGTTCTGTTCAAGATACAATGCCAATAGTCAATACTCTGTTATTTTGATTTTGATATTCTGTTGAATCTAAGAGCATTCGTATATTAATTTTTAAGAAACACGTTATATGTACGTATATTGAATTATCGATTTTGGTATTCTTCTGAATTTAAGTGCATTCACACATTCTGCTGATTTTGAAAATTATGAATAGTTTATGCATTATAATATGTATAATCATGCATTGAAAAACAAAAACATCTGGAAAAAAAGCCCAAAACCAATACAACTTAGATTTGATCTTCTTTTTCTGGATTAGGATAATGCAAAGGTAAAGATCCAAACACCGGGCTATATGTTACGCATCCTGGATCATTTGCTTAGATTTGTATAAACTTTTTTGGTTGTTGGTGTGGGGAAAGA